AGACCAACGACACATAGCAACGACACATCTACACATATGACTTCTACTTATTTTTGATACAAATGGAACCCCATATGCCTCAATCTTTGGTGCTATGGCTGTAATTACTAGAGAAATATGAATTGGATTTAAACTGAAACCTGAAGCTGTCACAATTTTCCCCGGCTTCCCGATAAGTTATGCAGTGGACTACCATCTATTCTGTAAAGCCTTACTCCAAATTATTTATGCGAAATCATGGATTGTTTGCATAGACAATATCTAAAATATTCAACAGAAAATACAGTTTGAGAAACTGAAACACATAGGCACAATGCTACTTGACTGTCTATTGGCAGTCAATTCGGGAGTGCAATTTATTTTCCTTGTATTCCCAAGGGTGGAAATAAGGAAGACTGTAGATGCTAGCTTCTGAGGTAATGCTAAAATGGTTTCCACTGTGCATATTTCTGCACTAAGGTGTATTTGGTTTCAGAACTATTAAAATAAGCAATATTTTAATAGTTTTTTTTAGAAAAATGTTCTAAAAATATTTAGGGGAAGTGTCAAGTATTTGCAGATTTTAGCTATTACGTACAGTTTTGGGGTGTGCTTCCTTCTCTTCATTCGATGGGCCTCTGTGTACAACATGCCTGAGATCTCAAATATCAACCGCCACAATCTCATCACAGAAGTTTTCTAATACCGGTCCGGTGACTTTCATGCTCCATAGAGCGCAGATTAAAAAAAAAATAAAAATTTCCATTTTGGTTTAACCTTACTTTGTTGTTGATAAAACACTGAAACCTCCACTCTTTGGCAGTTTCAGAGTAACAACGTCTCTACATACATAGGCTGCAAATTACTGGCTGTGTAGTTGGAACCATTTATTCATACATTCCATTAAAATACAGACACATAACCATTGTTTTTTTCTTCTCACTGTTTGACATTAAATAAAATTAAGCGTTTCCTGTTTTAGGTCAGTTAGGACTATCAACATTATTTCTATTTGTTATATCAAAATAAAATAATCATTGGTAACACTTTATTTGAAGGGGTGTACACAAGACTGACATGACACTGTCATAAATACGACATAACATCTGTCATGAACATAAAAAAGTCTTTATGAATGTTTATGACTGTTGTCATGAAGTGTCATTCGGTAAATAATGACACTTTTAATGCAAAGTTGCTCTAAAAGTTGCATTAAAAGTCCATTAAAAGTGCCAACTTTGCATGATTTTGTAAATGACAATTTAATGCAAAGTTGGCATTTTTAATGGACTTTCAATGCAACTTTTAGAGTAACTTTGCATTAAAAGTGTCATTATTTACCGAATGACACTTCATGACAACAATCATAGACATTCATAAATATTTCTTTATGTTCATGACAGGCGTTATGTCGTGTTTATGACAGTGTCATGTCAGTTTTATGCACATGCCTTCAAATAAAGTGTTTCCGAATCATCTTTATTTATGACATTCTTCAAATTCAGAAATTTACATACGGTTGAGTATTTTGCTTTTGAACAATTTGTGAAAGCCTGAGTGGCGATGTCATGCCTTTGTAAGCCTCAGATTTGATTTTGAATTAACTGGACGCACACCTGTGGATTTATTTGAGCAACTTAAACACAGTAACTTCTGTTAACCGTTTACATTAATTTCCACTGTGTGTTTTTTTCTATGTATTTATTCATTTATTTTTTGCTATTACAGATCAACAGTTCCAAAATGGGTACATCACGCAGTGATCCCGATTGTGAAGTCCCTGGAAAAATACATTCCTCCGCCGTACGCCGGCGAAATCCGCGGCCTGGCCTCTGTCTTGGGAGGGAACCTGTCTGATGCCATCATTCTTAACTTTGCCTATGAATTCACTGCGTACGTACAGTTCCAATTACATGTTTTTATTTGTAAATGAACAAAGCCAGCTTGTTGCATGTCGACAGATATGCCATGAAGCCACGGAGCACTAACAAAGACCAACTTTCCGCCTTCATAGATTTTGCACCAGCATTGTGACTCAAGATGAAAATGGGAACGTGTTTCACGGGAGGAATCTCGATTATCCTCATCCTGTTCTGAGGAATATGACCATGAATTTAGTCTTCCAGAAGAATGGAAAGGTACAATATGAACTCAAAGTGACAGAGCATGGTAGCTGTTTAAAGGAAATTATACAAAATATTTATATATCAGCAGGCTCTTTTTCTTCTAGCAGTTTGTGTCCAATTTCTGAATGTTCAGAAGTTTGTTTTTTATGCATCCATATTTATAGTGGAAGTAGAGCCGACGTCACACTGTGTGTGTTGGGTTCTACTTGTTTAAAACAAAGAGAAGGTTACCATGAAGCTGACATTTGAAACTGTCTTCAGAGTTTTATAATAGTGATTAGCAACGTTATGTTCTGTACTTAAATCAGTCCGACACTCATAAAAAAGCTGTAATTTAAACGTTTGCCCAGTGGAAGAGGAAACTCTGATGCTCCTTTATTGATACTGACGTTTAGGCGGTGTACTACGGGACGTCGTTTGCCGGTTATGTCGGCTTGTGGACAGGAATGAGTCCCAACAAATTCACCATATCCGGCGATCAGCGAGGTGAGGGAATCTCACGGTCAGAACAGATGCTGCATTTTATTTTATTCTTTTCCCCATTCTTAACATTTGTTTCCTGGTTCACCAGGGACTGAGCACTGGTGGAACTGGTGGAAGAATGTTGTGTCCGCGTTCCTGTTTCACAGGTCGCCGGTCAGCTGGCTCGTGAGGGAGGCGAGTCCGTTTTTTACGGGAAAGCGGTGGGGAAATGTGTTGTTCACAGCTTGGGGAAGTGAAACGAATCGTGTGTGACTCATTTAGACCCTGGAGGAGGCCGAGGACTTCCTGGATGCAGTCATGCGTCTGTCCAAAACCCCCCTCATCACCGGGGTGTACTACATCGTGGGCGGGGTGCGAGCGGGAGAGGGGGTCGTCATCACCAGAGACCGAAAGGGTCCCGCTGACATCTGGCCCCTGGAGCCTTTAAATGGAGGGTGAGGAGAATCTGCAGGGGGGGAGGAGGGTCGATGGGATTGAAGGAACATGTAATCTTTCCTCATTTGTTTAGATGGTACAGAGTGGAGACGAACTTTGACCACTGGCTTCCTCCTCCTGCATCAGACCATCGAAGGTCAGTCATCTCACATGATGATGATCCATAATGTTTACTAACTGATTAAACTGCGGTTATGTGATCGCATCTTAGGGAAACGGCAAACAAGGCTCTCAACGCTACAGGTCAAGACCACATCAACATGGACAAACTTTATCAGGCAAGTAGGGTCTAGTCAACACCTAAGGTATTCATTAAAGTACCTCATAAACACTGACCACAATGGGTTTTATGATATTTTATGTGATAGAACATTCTTCTGCTTCCTCTGTCCCAGTAATACGCATTTAGCTCTAAGCAGATTTCCCCAGTTTTAGTTGAGGGGACTCCTTAGATCATCTTGTTCGACACTTAATGCACTTCAAGTGTGACTGTAAAATATAGTGAAAAGTCCATAATGATGAGATGTTAGGTTTAGGTGATACTGGTTGTAGTGAGAGCCACATTTCAGAATGGGACACATTGTGAAGGTCTGATAATGATAAGTGAGTCTTGTCCTGCAGGTCTTGTCACTGCATCCCATCTGCAACAGGTAAGATGCTTGTTTACTGCTGTCTTTAATCTGTTAGCATCTAGAAATCACAGGAGTGTTGTTGTTGCTCTGCACACATGGAGCCGTACTGTGCAGAGAGGTTTTACTTCCTGTTGTTCAGAAGGGCAACACCAAATTATCGACATGCTATTTATCATACTCTTGCACATACTCTGGATGGTTCTCATGTGAACCATCCAGACTTTTCCAGGAGGCTTGGTCCTTTATGGTTATTCTGAAATATACCACACCAAAGTTCACTATGAGGTTCTAGCAGAAGTAAGAAGTAAGTGAAGGAGGGAAAGATGGAAAGAAGAAAAGGCATAGGGAAAGGTATGAGATGAAGCTTAAATGTTGTACCAACCTCATAAGGTGGCATCAAAATTGTTGGGAATCAGAAGTCATGTCAATGCTTGTCTTATGCAATGATTAATAATTCTAATCAATATTTTGTCATTGACTAAATTATTAATCAAATTCAAATTCTTTAGTTTAGTCGGGACACCAACTCCTGCAACTCTGGAGTCATAAGCCAAACTTAGTCTCTTGTGAAGGCAGTGGTGGTTTCTGATATGGGCGACATGGGCACCTGCCCAGGGCGGCATTTTGTGGGGAGCAGCGTGAGCAGGAAAGGGAGAAGAGACTGGCCGAGAGGGAGACAATGAATTCCAACAGCACTGAAACAGAGAATAGAAAAAAGGAAAGATACATGGAGGGGAATAAAGGCAAGGGAAGAATGGCAACAAAGCAAAGAATGAAAGACCAGGAATGTTAGGAGAAAAAGAGCTGAAGGACACAAGGAAGAAATGGATGAAGACAACATGGAAGGAGGGACATAAAGGGTACAACCTGGAATTGGTAATAAAGTCTAAATATGCAAATACTTTTCCTTACTCTTATTTTTTTTCCATATTTATCCTGATATGGGTAACACATTATTTTCATGACTTCATAGGAACCCTGTCAGCTGAGTTTTGGTCCTTTTTTTTATAAAGTCGTCACACATATTTGAACTGTAATTTCTTTTTAATTCCATCACATTTGACAGTGTCCTCTGCCTTCTGTCTTAAATCCTCACAGAATTACAATTTATACCACAGTTATGAGTGCAGCATCGCCTGGGAATTACACCACATTCATCAGACCACAGGTACGGAAGTGATAGCGGTCAATGAAAAATGTTCAGAATAATCCACCCACTCATCTACATCTGATCTGTTTTTAGGGCTGCTTCAAGACCGACTGACCTGGCTGTGAAAGACAAACACATTTCTGCTGATCTCATCAGATACGTAGAAGTGAGACTGAGGAGGTTTGACTTCTTCTTTTTAGGATGAAACTGCCTTTAAAGAAAGAACATTTAATCTTGTTGCTGCCTTACCCAGCTAGCTTACTACTGGTGCATTTTGAAGCACTAATTAATTAAAAACAGTATTAGAGAAAAATGCTCAAATGGTCAAAATGTGAAATTTTGACCATAGTCTCTAATTTTTTTTCTTTTGCCTTCTAAAAAACAAAACAAACAGACAAAATTAAGGAAACGATTGTTTAATTGCCCGAAAATGGGTTAAAATAACTCAGTTTGTCCAAGGAGACTTCTAATGAAAAACGGCTGAATTGAATTGTGGGTAGACATGAGATAACCAAACACACAGTTTGATATTGAGCTCATTTATCTAAAAAGTGTTTTCACATTATCTCACAGAAAAAAGCTTGACCTTAAACTAAAGCCACTGAAATCTACTATTGGGAACCAGAGCAACATAAATAATGATGATCTCCAATCACTCACACCATTACATTTATCCAGCAATAAAAAAAGAAAACTGGAGTTCTTTAGTAAGTGCACATACAACTGAATGTCTTATGCAAATTGTGTAAATAATGTAATTTTACTGATGCTTTTTAAAACCATACAAATGTTTTAACAGGTTTTTGGGGACTTCTTTGTATATGCCAATTATTTTTGTGCGTTTGCAATAAAGCTTTAATCCAAAATGTGAAACGTTTCAAAAAGAAAAAGTAGATAGGAATTATTTAACAACTGATTGCGAGAACACATTTTCATTGCTGCGTTGCGCCATGTCATAATGGATGTCAGCTTGTTTGGAAATCACTTGCTGATTTTAATAAAACCTTGCCTTACTCACCACAAGTGTCACTGTTTTTATATATGTATGTATATATCAGCCATTATAAAGAGGAAATGGGAAGTCTGACCTCTCATCTCTTCTCTCCATAAAGTGTCTTTGAACTATACCTTAGTTGCAACACAAGCAGTAGCTTCTGTTTGGACTTTAACATTAGTAACAGGACAACAGTGATTTTAACATCCGACTGAAGAGGAACTGAGCATTTTGTTTGGTGAAAGATCGATAAGAGGTGAGGTGAACGAGGATGCTGAACCACCAGAGGAACAATTCTCTGAAACGATTTCAACTACAGACTCTTGAGTTCAGGGGAAACCCAAATCAATCATTAACACAAATTTCCTCCAAATGTGGAAGCAAACATTTACACCTAGACATAAAAAAGACACAAGGTTCTTTTATTGTATTAAATCTGAATCAAAGTTTCCTATTTTAGGCCAGTTAACTTTAGCAGAATTGTTTTTGTTTCATGAAAAAGCAAAAAGAGGAATCATTTTATTTCTTTAGATTAACAAGCCTCCATACTTCTAAAGAATTAAGAGAGGGAATAATCAATATTTCTGATAAAAATAGAAAAAAAAACTTAAGAGCAACAAGAACTTTCCAGAATGATCTGACAAACTAAAAGACATTTAAGCTCACATGGTGATTGCAAAACAAGAGAGATGTGGTTGATTAGTAACAGACAAATGAGGGAAAGCAGAGAGCTGGAGATAAACTGAGGGAAAGGCTGAAAACAACCAATACAGAGAAGCACAAGAAACAGAAAAGTGTACAAATGGAAAAAGGACACAATCCAACAGCAGATCCAAAAGGTGATGTAGAAACTCAGAATAAGAGGTGGTGAGGAGAACACACACATCCAGAAAAGAGGTTCCTAAATAAAAGTTTATTTAGAAACTAAATAAACTCTTAGTTCTTAAATAAACATGAAGGCTAAAACGCAGATCCCAATCTAAATACAAGGAGGAGGAATCTAAAAAGTGAACTGAAAATGAACAGCAAATGGTGATGAAGACACAAATCAAAACACAAGACGGCTAGAGAAGAAAAAGGAAACAAAGTACAGGGATGATACAAAACTCTAAAAGGTTTACATTACATAAAATCTCCTTACTCCTCTTAACAGGAAGTGGGAAGGCCAAACTCCTACCTTAGTAAAGTAACCAGACATGTGCCTACCTGTTCTGCAACACTGCCACCTACAGGCTCACTTGTGTCACTGCTAATAATAATAAAAGTTGTTTTCTTGTATACTCAGCCTTACTAGATCCGTTTTTTTAGCGCCTGCTCTGTTTTATCTCACAAATGTGAATATCTAAAAGGACAGGAGCACACTTCCTTCAGCAGGCTGCGTTATATTTACTGGAATTTATCTTTCTGTTCTTTCTAAAAGTCTCCTTTCTCACTGAGAGCACTCTCCAGCAAGACACTGATTGCAGTGTAGAAGGCAGACAGTCACCAGATAAGGACATATTTGTTTTTTGGCTTATCACGCAAATATAAAAAAAGAAGTGCAAATGGCCTTGTCCCAGAAAAGCTGAAAGTTAAAAATATCTTGCACTGAAAAATATGTAAAATGAGGAAACACCAGTCAACTTACGCAAATATAGTCAGCTAGTAGGACAGTCATGATTGTTGTGTGAATAGATCTTTTTCTGTTTATGATAGAAAAAGATCTACAGAAATAATAATGATTAAAAAGCACAGAGCATTTTCTGAATTTCAAAAGTTGAAAATTTCTCAGAAATTTTGTAGAAGAAAACAAGGACAATTCTGTTTGAAAAGTCGAAGGTTTTGCTTGAAAATTTTGACATTAATCTCAGAAATTTTCTAGACAAAACATTTAATTGAAAAATTTCAACTTTTCAAACTCAGAATTTTTTTAAAAGAAAATTCTGAGATTGATCTGAAAATGTCTGTTGTTAAGTAAAGTGTTACAAAGTTCACAGTTGAAGGGTTTCCTTTTTCTCCGTTTCTCAGAATCACAACAAACCTGTCTAAGCTCTCTAACTGTACAGAAATGACATGTAAATGAACTCGGAGACAAACCAGTGCTTACAGTGCAGAGTGTACCCCTTACTGCTGCTCGCTTTCACATAGATGTATTATTCCTTAACTGTTTTACATTTTTAAAGCTGAAGGTTTCTAAAGCACATCTGCTCCCTTGTCAACTATATGCTGACAAGCACAAGGCAGGTCATATTTAAATGTGTTTCTAGCTTCCTGTAAAAAAAAAAAATGGAGATATTTTAATTCATTTTAAATCAGATCAGTGGAGTGATATCGTTAGAATTGCCTTTGTGTAGATCCGATTTTCATGTTTCAGAAAATAAAAGCACCTAGTTGAAAAATCTAAAACATTCCTAAAGTACATATTAAATCTAAGAACTAAAAAAAAAACAAAAAAAACATGGACTTTCCTTAATGAGTGTAACGCTCAGTAAAGCTGGATCAACCATTTCTTACACCTAACCATGGAAAGCGTTGGTAGATATCGGAGTGTGCGCATCTTAAACCACGTCTCTATTTTATTATGAAAACCTGTTAAAGGAAACCAGTTTGGTTTTTGTCTGCGTTACATTATCAGCTTAAAGCTGCCGGTCTGGTTCAGTGTCAGGCAGCTCATTCCTCTGACTGACAGCTTGCAGTCATAATGGTGTGGAGTTCAGCGTTGCTGGTTCTGCTCGGACTCTCTGGGTCTCTGTGGGCTCAGCAGACGCCTACAGTGCTCGTCAATCTGGACTTGAGTCCGGAACAGCGATGGGAGCATCTTCAACAAGCTTTTGATACAGATTTAATGAAAAAAGCTGCACAAATCCTCATTAGGTAAGTCCGCTTACGTTCATATATAACTAAAAGTCAGATATTTACGTATGTAGACACCAGTTTGGATTTTAAAAAGTGGGCTTTAAATTTTAAACACACAGACTGAATGAATGTAAGCAACATCTAAGCTTGCAAAATAAAGTTTTCAGTTTGATATTTTAGTTTCCATAAACACCTTTGTAGATCCGAGAGGTAAAAAGATTTCTATATAATGTTTTTGTACTATATTTATTATGCCAGGAAATATTCTATAAATGGAGGGGGTTATATTATTCCCTTGTTACACAAGTTACTGTTTGTGTTAAATTATTCCAAACTTCTTCGGATGTCCTACAGGACACAGTTTTATCTTAATAGTGAGATTTGTTGACGTTTAATCACTCTAAAATTATATCAAACTGTGTCAAACTTTTCAGAACTCTTGATAACTCATTGGATAAAACATCAGAAATGTGACCTTGACTGTAGTGTGTGTGTCTTTTTAGGAGATGTCAGAACAAGAAAAGGTTTCATAAGGCTGGTTTGTACTTGAACGCTGCATCACTTGAAGAAGAAAAAGCTAACGTATTGCTTCTTATGGATTCTTCTCTAACCCACAAACTGGGTCACAATTTTTGATCCAAGTTAAAGCTTCTCCATCTTGGCTCTAACAGTAGAAGACTTCAGGTTATAGGTGGAACCTAGCACTTTTTGTCTGTGGGTTGTGGACTATAAAAAAATAGTTGGTAGAAATGGTTACCTGGTGTCTTCTCTGTCAAACGTTCTTGGTCTTGTCTAGAATTTGGACGCACTGAACTTATCAAAGTCAGCTGCAACATGCATTTGAAACAGCAAATTGGTGTGACAGTCTTGGTTTTTACTTTGAAATTCTCAATGCTGCTACCTGTCCCCATAGGTCCCAAGGACGCAAAATCTAGAGGAATAAACATTTTCCATTGTACATATATGGATGAAAAAAGACGGCTTAGTGAAGTCGTCCATGTCCAACCGGTGCCTCTGCTCACTCTACCTGCAACTAATGCTACGTCAGTTTGCAATTAGAAGGATGCTGTCATTTGTGCTTGTAACACTTCAAACTTCAGCATTGTTTCAAATGTGACAATAAATAAGTGTGTACTAGTAGCACAGACAGACTAGTAATACATACTAATATATTTTTAAACAACTTTTTCAAAATTCATTATCTCTCTAACCAACTTATTTTGTGTAAAGAAAATTCTGTGTCCATTGGTAGACCTTTACTCTTAGACACTGAGACAATATCTTCTATTATACATATGTAAACAATAACCACAATGCTTTTTATCTATATTAATAGTTCACAGGTTCCAAACTGGTTCCATAAGGCAACTAGCCCTATCGTGATGTCCCTAGAAAAACACATTCCCCAGCTGTACGCCAGGGAAATCCGTGGAATAGCCAGCATGATGAAAATGAAACTTGCTGATGTCGTCATCCTCAACTTTGCGTATGAATTTACTGCGTACGTAAGGTTTCAAGTCTGTTCATATAGTTGTGAGTACATCGAGGATTCAAATGTTCACAAACTCTAAGCAGGAATGAAAGCAACATGTCAGAAAGCTCATGAGGCACCGTTTCCACCCGCAGTTACTGCACAAGCATCGTGGCTCAGGACAAGAACGGGAACATCTACCACGGCAGGAATTTTGATTTTCCACATTCTGTTCTGAGGAATCTAACCATGAATGTTGTCTTCTTCAAAAACGGGGAGGTATGATATGCATTTATACTCATTATGCAACATAACTGTTAAAGGAGCCATGTTGATCATAAAGTAATTTTCAGTTTCCACAATGTCAAATTCATATCAGCATTCAGTGGCGGTTCAGCTTTTCAGGAAGGTTCTGAAAAGTCACAACCCCAGATTTACCGGATCAGGTGGTGGCAACATAAAATGTGTACAGAGAAAAAATATTGGAGTTTAAAAGCATTTTATCTCAAATAAAAGGTTTTACAAACAAGCAAGTCAGAGAGTACACTTCAACCCAATTAATTGTCAAACAAACTTGGCTTTACAAAAAAATCTAAAGTGGGTCAGTCTTAGTTTATTACACTTTATTAAATTGTGCCTTTCTTTATTGATATTATTGGCCAGAGTCTTAAAGGCTAATGTTCTCTTAACTGGCTTTCTAGTGTGGAATAATGGCAGTAACACAACCAACTGACATTAACATTATTATGCATTGTTTCTTATTTCATCCTAAGATGTTCAGTGAAGTCAGTGAATCATGGTGGCCTGTAAAAAATGTTGAGACTCCTTCTAGTATGTTCTCTAGCCAACAAACTTGGTCACAACTTTTGTTTGGTTACCCAACAAATGTCTCAACAGTATTAAACCAGCAGTCAGGTTAAAGGAATAACTCAGATATTTTTGTGTTAGTCATTTTTGTGAATGCTAAAATTGTCTCTTCTGTTTGTTACAAAGTTAGCTCCTCAACCAGCAAATGAATACTATAACTTTTTAGCTAGTGCTGAAGCTAAGTGTCCTTGGCTTCAATCTCCATGACATTACCTAGTGTCTTCTCTGTCTCTTCTTTAACCCAGCAGTTCTGGACACAACGTTTGGTGAAAACTAGCTAAGAAAATGTCTTATAGGCTGTGATGGATAAGCAATAAGATCATTATATCCTGTTTATTTTTCTTGCTGGAAAGCAAGAAAAAGCTAGCACACTAGTTGTGCTCATATTCATGTGCCATTCATTTTCACAGAAATTATTGCCTAAATTATCGTTAACGATGAGTTTGCATTGTGTATTGGTGAGCAGTACCTTACCGTTAGCTTACTAGATGACAGCAGGCTAGTCTTTTAAACACAGTTGGCTAAATCACCTCAGAACGCACACTGCACCGTGAGACCAACGCAAACAGACATGTTTGTGCGATATTTGGCTGGGCTTGGTGTTTTACTCATAGCTTCTTTTATTTTCTGAATATGCATCTCTGTGGCAAACCCAGACAAATTACCTGACTGTTAATTCTTCCATCAAAAACCAGGAGCTGGATGAGTGACACATAGTAACACTTATTTGTGTGGGTATTAAATTATAGCTGTTGAACTAAAATGCTTGTGTGATTATTTCGTTGATGCAACTTTCTAGCCAGCGTACTTTGGAACGTCATTAGCCGGCTATGTGGGGCTATGGACCGGAATGAGTCCATACAAGTTCACTGTGTCTGGCAACCAGCGAGGTAAGACAGTAGCTGCATTTCCATTACAAATGTGTGTAGATCTTTTCTGCTAATGTTCAAAAACTTTAGTAACTCTGCAATTTCGCATTTGCAGTGTTTCCATTAAATAAGAATTGAAATTAAAATCACATAAATAAGCTTGTTCACTTGGTAAGTCATGGAATGGCAATGATGGAAGTAAACTGTTACATAAAATATATGATATTCATAATTCAGCCATGGCGCTAATGCTCATCAAGACATCGGCATCTTATTCAGTGACAAACTCCCTATACTTGGGAGAAGAAGAGCTATGGATTCAACATGTTCGTATGACACACAACTTTTTATGAGCTGTGCGATTCTATGAGAGCTCTGGTGGAGGCCAGTTGCACATTGTCTGAAAAAAAAACATCCTCCTACTACTTCCTGTCGTTGCCTTCAACGTTTCATCAGTAGCAACATCCGGCTATTGATTATGTGACTCGTGATGTGGAAATAGTGTTTCCATTGTAGTTTTGTTAAATTAATCAATTTCAATATGGCTGAAAAAGAGCCTTGTCCTTCCTCATCATGTATCAAAAAACATGAGTTTTTTTTTTAAAAATTGACGTGTTTCCATTAAGCATACTTGTTTTCGTAACTCCAATTTGTGCAATTCTATAGTTAATTGAAACGCATTTACTCTTGATACCGTGTCATGTCTTTTCATCCCTAAACTTCTTTTTCATTCCTAAGAAACGCAGGTTTGGTCAAACTGGTGGAAGAATGTTGTGTCTGCCGTCTTTGTCCACAGATTCCCGGTCAGCTGGCTTATTCGGGTGGTGAGTAAATTACAGAATATTGTGGGATAATAAAAGCGACATGACATCATGTCGAAATCAAATTGTCGGTGTGCTACTCACGCAGACCCTGGAGGAGGCCAAAGACTTTGAGGATGCAGTCACGCGTCTGTCGACAACCCCCCTCATCACGGGGGTGTACTATATCGTGGGTGGGGTGCGAGCGGGAGAGGCGGTGGTCATCACCAGAGATCGAAAAGGCCCCGCTGACATTTGGCCCCTAGAGCCTTTAAATGGAGGGTGAGGAGAATCTGGTGAGAGTCGGTGCATCAATGAAGCAACATGTAACCCTTCCTCGTTTGCTTAGATGGTACAGAGTGCAGACGAACGTTGACCACTGGCTTCCTCCTCCTAAAAAACTCAATCGAAGGTTAGTCACCTCACAGAGTGATGACACAGCCATAATGTTTAGTTTCTATTATTGCACTGCTGTCTTATGATCATTTCTTAGGGATGTAGTCATGAAGAAACTGGATGCCGTGGGCCAAAAGCGTATATGTAAGGATAAACTTTACCAGGCAAGTAGAAGAGGTCATGTGAGTCAAAGCTCAATTTATGAATGTGTGGATTAATGTAACATCGGACCCCTTTCCTCCAGGTTCTGTCTCTGTCTTTTGTGTGCCTCAGGTGAGGATGAGATTATTATTTTTTTATACCTGTCATCTTTTGTTATGCAGCAGTTGTTGTTGCTAAAAGGGTGAAGAACCACACAGACCAGCAACGGCCATCAACCTCTGTAGGAATGTTCGTGTCTCGTTAGCTTTTTCAAATTTTGTCACAATATAATCACAACATTCATTTGTCTATTAACAGAATTGTTCTGACATTTGCATAAAAAGCAGTTAATTTAAAACGGGTGAATATTAGTCATGCATTCCACAAATATAGTGAAAAAAAGAGAAGAAGACTGAATTGCAATAAAAAGTGATTTTGCATTCAACTTATTTAGGTTAAATGTGAATGCACTCTGCATTTGTCATAACATATCTGTAAATAAAACCTGAAACCTCTGCATTATCCAATACTTTATGTTGTTATCGCCTAGAATCTTATTAGAAAACCTTCAAGTTTTTGGTTATAGAATGAAAAATTTGTAAAAATGCTTAAGGGGTATACATAACTGTGTTTCAGTCACATGTTAATGTCTATAAAAACATCCTTAAACATCTTGTTAGATGTGTGACAGTATATCTATATTTTCTTGATCAAACCATCAGAACTACAATCTACACAACACTCATGAGTGCAGCAACCCCCAGGGAGTACACTACAATTCTCAGAGAGAAGGTACTGGAGTTATATCTAAAATGTTATTTAAAATGGTTGGCATTATTCCACACAACTCACTCTATTTTTTTTCTAAAGGGCTGCCTGAAGAAGACCAAGTGAAGTGACCAAAAAGGAGCAGGGAGCGATGAGTGAATGTTTGAAAATAAAATGAATACAACTCTTGCAAAGACATCTGGCTTCATCGCAAAAGATCAATTAAAAAACATAAAACGAAGTAAAAAAAAAATTGAGTGAGTTTTGTGGTTTCTTTCCATTTTTCCCCCCATTGGCATGAATGTAATGCTTGATAAAACTGGTTACCACCAGAAGATGGCAGCATAGAGCGGCGGTTTGGTAAGAACGTGAGGCGAAGAAGAAGCGGGAGTGGACGCCTGTCGGTGGGTCACATGATATGACAAAGCAGTAGTTAGCGGCTTCCTTCCAGACGGCAACAGACTGCGATTACTGACTCCTCCAAGATGCTGGCCCTCATTAACAGACTGTTAGACTGGTTCCGGTCGCTTTTTTGGAAAGAAGAGATGGAGCTCACGTTAGTCGGACTTCAGTACTCTGGAAAAACCACATTTGTCAACGTAATTGCTGTAAGTAGCCAGCGTTAGCGAATACGCATAAAGTGGGCCCAGGCTTCTACCTGGGAGAGGGCGAAGGTGTCTGTTAAACAATACATCTTTTTCTGCAAGTACTAGGACGGGAAAAAAAGGGAACATATTTGCAAGAAAAGATGCTTTTGGTAGTGTTTGCATGAGACAAAGTGCAGGAGGAATAACTCTTTGAAACAGCTGGTGTTGGAGAATGACGAAGTTCTCAGTATGACTGTGTGCTTACTAATACACCGGGTCATGTGACCGCGCTGTCAGCTTTGTAGCGGCTCCCAGTGTGTCCACAACAGCAGTCTGGACTCCTGGATGAAAACAGGCTGTTTATGTTTGCTCAGGAGTGACCCGGGGCTAATGATGACAACCATAAGTTTTTAGGTTCCTCTTGAACCTGTAGAGAAAAAAAGAAGACTCTATGCTCATTTAGTGCCTGGTGTTCCTTGAGTTTTCGTTAGCACTTGTTTATATTCTCCACCAAGAAATACTGCTCACCTCACCCACTGTCACAGTTCTATCCAGCTTTGCTGTCAGACATTACTCTCCAATGCAGTTGGACCTGTTTAGTAATCCCTTGGAATTAGAGGAAAGGCTAAACGAGTGTGAGGCAATAGTCCCGTAAATCCAGGTTGTGCAGCTGCTTAGGTGTACCAACCAGTCTCTCCTGTAAAATTAATCAAAAATAATGTCACCATTATTTTTGATTGTCACCTATAGAAAAACATGTCATTGTCAGTTTTTCCCCTCTATTTGTTTATCTTTTTTTTACACTCTCAAAAACAAGCCTCCAGATGCCTCTGACGTCACAGCAGGCAGCTGATCAGAGTAGTTTTCAGTACTCCATTTTCTATTTTTTGAATTGTTGTGGTTTCCAACTGGATCATTTTTATGCTTCTAGTAAAACGCATCCCTCATAAATGTTTACTGCATTGTCATAGCCAGGCTGTTTTGACTCGAGTTCAAGTTTTGACCCAAGATAGCTTCACTATCGCTTCTTATTGAATCTACTGATTAAACTCTTTTCAGAATGTACTGTCATGTTTTCTAAGCTGAAAACAAAACAAAAATATTAGATTTTTAGGACAGTTAACATTATGACAGGCTACCAAGGTTTTAAAGCCTTGGTAGTGCAGCCTTTGCACTAGATTAGTGCACTGCCTGCCAGCTGCCTGAAAGAATGCTAATAATACATTTTTATGCTTAGAAAAGAAAAGAAAGAAGTGTAAAAAATATTTCTGTTTGCAAAACAAAAAAACAAACATAGGCAGCAACAGGTGTGGAAACTACACACTCTTCACCAAGGTAGCTACTAGCTGCATGTTTAAGTAGTTGACTGCAGCCTAGCAACCAGAACTGATTCATCCATCCAACACCAGCTTATTAGACTTGTCACTGCGTGAAGAGAAGGACAGCAAAAACCTTTAACAATTGGTGCAATAAGCTTAAAAGTATTATTACACTTAATTATGATTGAGGTGCCCCAACAAACAGCTGCAGTTTTCTTAATTTTGACAGATTGTCTGATGCTTAAATGGGAAACGATGGGTTTTCAGACAAAAAAAAAAATAAAAAAAATCTAACTGCCAAAACCAGAATGTTAAAATCTTTCTAAAAATCAGTGATTGGTCAGAAAACTGTAATTGGTGCAGCTCTAATTATGATTATAATGGTAAAAATTAATAGTTCATGCTACTTTAGCAACATCCTTTAGCTACTTTAGCCTGAGCTTGTTCAAATTGGCACTGGTTTGTCAGTTCTCTTAATACCTCAAAAACATATAATGTTCATAAGTGAGTAAAATGGCGCAAGTCTGTTTGCAGAACTATTTCCCCCTGCAGGCTTGGGTCAGTTTGACCACAAGACTTGTCTTACATTTTCTCTGCTTGCCTCAGACTTTCTGAGCTGTATCTAAGACGAGACAAAAAGACGGTCTCTTCATAAAGTCACTCTATAAAAAAACATACAGATGATGAAGACGTGTCCATAAAGGGTTAAAAATATAGATTTTTTTTTTCCTGACTCAGTCCTGGACACTCACTGGGTTTTAGCCAAGCACCTGTTTTTGTAACTTATCATAAATGTGATTAAAGTAGAACGTACAGAAATAAAACGTTGAGGAAGCATTCCTTCCCAGACCGCACAATGACATCACACCAGGCGTCACGTCAGGGTGATTAATGGAGGTAAAACGTTTCCCAAAGCAGCTGGGGGAAATTATGTGCATCGATTAGAAACTATTACTGATCTAATTCATATCCACAATCCTGCTCACTCATAGACTTTAGATCAAATGACACCATGACGACTCGCTCAGAGATGCAAGTCATCCACGTTTTCTCTGTTATATTGTGTTTTTTTTCTCTCGTATGCAGTCGGGGCAGTTCAGTGAAGACATGATCCCCACAGTCGGTTTCAACATGCGGAAAGTCACTAAAGGCAATGTAACAATAAAGGTAAGCCAATAAAACATGGGGCCAATTTCTGTTTTCCTAAAGCTTTGGCCTGTTGATTTTAAGTTAGAAATATGAAACAAATTCTACTGTGAGTACAATAATAAACTAGATGTGCAGTATTTTAATAAAGCACAATAAAGCAGTCTGATTGTTGTAGGGGAGGATATGAGTCACAGCAAATTGGTGCACCTTTCTCTGCTTTAGCGTAAAAGTCACTGGATGTTTTTGGTTTTTTACAATGTGATTAAAAGACAACAAAAACAGGTATAAGAGTTTCCTGTGACAATAAATCAATTAATCGCTTGATAAATTAGACCCAGCTCAATGATTTCCATTTGCATGATTTCTTGTTTTTCTCTCTTCTCTCTTTCTACCAAAAACTGGCTGACAGAAGTCTTCATTCTGGTGCTTTGGTCTCAGCTAGCTCCTTTTTGGGAAGGACAGTTTTGTTTACAGAGGCTTCATGATTCATTTTACTTGTTGTTTCTGTTGTTTTATTTATGTATTTAGGATATTTTCCAGTTCCAGTGTTAAATGTTCATTAGAATTTAACATTTGATTTTTGAGAATGTGTTCTTGTATTATTGGAAATGGACTGAAGATCATTTCCAAATCCAACAGGTAGAGTTTGGAAGCTCAAGAGGTTAAAACGAAGCAACTTCACTGGAATATGTTCAGCCTTCCTGGTATTCACCCACAATCTTGATTTCTTAACCTAATCCTGAATGAACAACAAAAAAAAAAACAGTTTTGTTTTGTTTAAATACATTCTTACTTCTCTGCAGTTCCTCTGACTTTGTGTACGGTTTACGCATTCACTGCCTGGTAAAATGTGTTTTTATTTGAGTTTCTGACCAGCCGGTTACTGATCTGTCTCAGCGAATCTGAAAATCGTGAGATTCTGGACACAACAATAATTCTCAGGATGCCTCCAGATGACCTCCATCGTACAGAGCAGCAGCCGGTTCACAAAGAGCAAATGTTTGGTGTTGAACTTGTTCTCTGATGTTTCAGATATGGGACATAGGCGGACAGCCCCGCTTCAGGAGCATGTGGGAGCGCTACTGTCGAGGAGTCAACGCTATCGTGTAAGCTACCGCTGTTCTGCCAGAACGCCAGGCAACATTATGAACATTTCATAATGTCTCCGTTTTATTCCTTCAGTTACATGGTGGATGCAGCAGACAGAGAGAAAATAGAAGGTTCCAGAAATGAATTGCACAACCTTTTAGAGAAACCACAACTACAAGGAATTCCTGTGAGAAATGTCTGATATTTGGAGTAAAACATGACACTAGCAGAGCTAGCTTTATCACAAAGAGGTTCTGATAAAACTCCTTCCTTTTCCTTTCTCCAGGTTTTAGTCCTCGGTAACAAGCGGGACTTGCCCAACGCACTCGATGAGAAGCAGCTCATTGAAAAAATGTGAGGAATGCTTATTTTATTTATTTTCTGTGGCTTTAGAGCACTGAAATACTCGACAACTTGTCACATGTTGTGTTCTAAAGTTAACATCTGTCTGTTCTTTTGCTTTCATGTTAACTCCTTATTAAACGTACCGTCCTGATCTACGCAGGAACCTTTCTGCCATTCAGGACCGGGAGATCTGCTGCTACTCTGTGTCCTGCAAAGAGAAAGACAACATAGGTAAATATGAGAGGGATGTTTGTCTGGTCAAAGTTGAAAGCCAGACATAAATCTTAACATTCAGTTGTGTTGGTCAGTGGGACTAAAGAAAAATGACGTTGTTTTGTAGGGGTGCACTGACTGCAGGCTTTTTGTCCGACTTTTTTTTTACTCAAAAGTGTTTGCTTATGAAGTCTTCTCTTGATATATTTTCTGCAGTTAAGTTGTTTGTCTTGACGTATATAAAGATTAAATTACATGTAGTCTAAATGTGACTCAATAATATCTCTGTCCATAAATAGTCCTTAAGTTTGGGAAATCATCGATTGACCGACACTTGCGTGTGAAATCAATCTTATCTATGTCTACCTGTGCAGAGGTAGATAATATTTTTATTTTTAAAGATCAGAAAACTGCAGTCGGTGCACCCCTAATTTTTGTTAGTTTTTTTTTTTCTACATTTGCATGTTTTTATTAAGCGAATTTTGTTTTGCTTCTCTTAATAATGCCAATAACTAAACCATCGATATGTTTTCCTTTGACCTCAGATATCACACTGCAGTGGCTCATCCAGCATTCAAAGTCACGAAGAAGCTGAAAATGCAATCTGCCTGCCCCCCACCCAAACACCACCTCTGCCCTGTCGCAGCGCTGGCCTTGGCCCCCACAACACACCACACCCCAAGTTTTCCCTTCAGTCCGGGGTTCTCAACAGTCACCCTTTGCACTGCCTCTGTGAAGTAATCCAGCTCTCTTTGCTCACTACCACCCCCTAGTACACTACCGTAGATGTGTATCTTCCTGTACAGCACTACCCCATCCCCCACCACCAATCCCCATCTGACAGACCTTGTCAGGAAGTTTCTTCCTCTCATTAATGATGTCCAGGAAGCTAAAGGTATTACAGTGTGCTGTTCCCCCCACTCCCATACATCAACCGCCTACTCTGTTCCTCATCAACATTCACTGCTTACGCGGCATTTAGTGATTGTATCTTTGAGCAGTTATTTGCCAAAACGACAACGGTTGCTTCTGCCTATTTCTTTTTGTCTTTTTTTTTTTTTTTTTTTTTTTTTAAATCCAGATCTTTTGCGACGTTGCAGAAACATTCTTCATTTGCTTGGCATTTGGAAGCGTCTCCTACTCGGGTGTCTTAAATTCAAGTTTACACATAACTTTTAAATCTCGTTAAAAGGTTAAGGGTTTTCGGTGTGCAAGATTTCCCGAGCCAAATTTTAAGTGCCTTTGACTGCGAAAAGTGTCCCAATCAGACGGTTAGTATCCCTGGATGACTCCTATCTTAACAGCACCTATAGACAATCTCGTTTGAAGCTCCCCATAAATCACGTAAGCGTGTCACAATGTCTGACGACGAAGAACGGAGGACAAGATGCTACTTTTCTCATGCTTGCCGGGGCGTCCGAAAGCCTTTTTGAGTTATGTCTGTAGCGTGGAAAGCTGGGAGAGATTATTGGGAGTGTTTTTACGCAAAGAGCTGGACCACGTCCAATCAGATGTCTCTCTCTCTCTCTCAAGGTGAGTTTTATATATAGGGGTCGGGTAACAGAAAGCCAGTGTTACGGCGAGGTTATCCCTTGTTTGAGTCACCTCTGTTCAAACGAAATGTTTCTCATTTACACAGGTTTGCTTTTTATTAACAAGACTAATCGGTCGAACCACTATTGTCCTAGTTGATGTATCGCAAGCAGGTTTTTTTTTTCCCTCCTTATGCTTAAATCTCTGGAATCATGCCACTATAGCCACACCCACATCACTCTTATTTTCTCTCATGTAGTCCATGCGTCGATTGTCGGGACCACAGCAGCAGTGAGGGAGGGGGAGCTGATCATTTGCCTCATCTTGCAGAAAGCTTTTTGTTACCTGTGAAATAAATATAGCCCATTTGCATCATTTGTACCTGCATGTGCTGGGCTTGCTCACACTCATTGGTAGACTTTGTAAATAAGACGTTAGCATTTTTATTCAAATAAATGCTCCTGTAGATGTCATGCATTATCTCCCTGTGATTGCCAATAAATTTTGTTTTTATTTATAAGGATTTCCAACATGTGCTGTCTTTTGTGAAAGCGTCATTTTGCTGTTTCGCCACTAGATGGCAGCCGAGGGCTTTGAAACGGAAATGACGAGGCAAGCGGCCATGAAGCTAATATAGAATATTTTTGAAAGTGATTTTGAAGCAAAATGAAAGCAGTCGCTGGAAGGGCGTGGTTTGTTTGCAGTTTTCAAGATGAAGAGAGAAAAAATACAGTTACATGAAAATTTTCTGTTGTATCACTGATGAATTCTTCCACTTCCATTTCTCATTTTTGGTTATAACTATTCATTGCAACACATTAAACCATGTTGTACCTGTAATTTTTACTCGCTGTTCAAATGCTGAATGCTCTTTTGTTTTTGTTTTTTCTTTTTAAACTTTGATAGAAAAGTTGTCTGCTTGTAATCCGTGGTTGTAGATAATGTACATGTCAAGGAAAATGCCAAAAACACACAAGATAATTTTTTTCTTCAATATTCAGTGTTTTTTTAAAAAAAAAAATGAATTTCTTAAACAACAACCCTATTTTCTGATTTTCTGTCTCATCACGTTAGCTCAAAGACATATTTTTGCTGATTTAGTTTCTTGCATGCCCTATTAATTTTCTGCAACAACTGATAAACGTCACTGAGTTATTTATCTTTTGTAATAATCAAATAGTGCGTAATTGTGCAGTGCAAGAAAATTAACAACTCAAGCTGATTTGTCTCTAGCCCATTGCACAAATTAATATTATGTTTTGATCTGCATTTAATCTTCATTATTTTAATTATCTGAATTTATGACCCATAAAAACCCCTTTGGCCTGTTCAGATTTTCTTTATTTATAGTCTCAACTGTTCATTTGTTTACGTATTGATTCTACTGGTACCTTTTTATAGTTTTTTTTTTTTTTTTTTTTAAGAAAACCACCTTGAAAAAAAAGAATGGAGCTCCAAATTAAAAAAAAAATCATTTGTTACATGCAATCCAATTACTGATAAGTTTATGAAAACTTAATTTATTAATATTTAACATGACAACTTGATAAACTTAATATATTGTATAGACTTTTATACTGACCTTAAATTACATGTGGATACAGACCGTTTAATAATTGGACTATTTCAAAAGGCAACTTATACCCTTAGACTTTATTTAGATGTGCCAATGTAACACAGGCTGAGTGCACATTTCAAATTTTGATTTGTTAAAAAAAAATTGTGTCTTACTGTTGTCCCATTTCACAGAAATGCATTGTTTTGTGATGATCTATCAAATTAAATCCCAACAGTTTTGACATCACCAAATGCAGAAAAGTTCCAGACGTGTGGATACTGAACAAGCAGAAACAGTACCAATAGTTCTAACCCCCATCCAAACACGTAGTGCTTTAATGTAAAAAAAAAAAAAAATGTGGCAATGTACGTAAATGTGTTTTCCAACTGGGGGCCAATAACTAGAGTCCTTTCCAGGTGTTGCAGACCTCTCTTGGTCCAACAGGAACACTCCTATTAATCTCATTTCTTAAACACAGTGTCAAATGAACATCTGCAGGCATTGGTTGTATCCGTGTTGATGGGTGGAAGGTGTGGACAGATGTGGGTGTTGCCTGATGAAACCCACGGATCAGCACAGAAAGCGGCATCGCTCCAGAATTATTGCTGCCCTCTTTAACGTGGCTTACAGCTCAAGTAAAAAGCTGAACAGCACTTAGAGACTTATTCAGAGAAGAGGTCATAGAGGTGACCTAAAGGTGTGACGTAGTTTCATTCATTATGTAATGATACATGTAGTAGTCAACTACATGATGAGCCATCAACATAATAACAAGATTCCTCCTCAAAGCGCTCCATCAGAGATGATCTTTCTCTTTGATGAATCTTCTGTCAAATCATGACAGATGGTCTAAGAAGGGCATAGCTCAGCTGTCAACAAGTCTGCTCTCAGCAGTATAATCAGAAACATCAACCCCACCTGACCAATAGCTCCTAGACAGTAACAAATATTGGCCTGTCTAAAGTCAGACTTGTGCTTTTTAAAACAGCAGTAGAGTCAGAAGCCATGAATCTGATTCAGTCTTCGGCATCTTTGTCCTTAGTAGTACAATCATATTTTCTTATTGTGCTTACAATGTGCAGCCACAGGGGTGTGGCCACTCCAAAATGACTAGACCTGGAAATATCCAATAGAAAACTGATGGCCTTTTGTTATTCTGGAGCGTTTGTGGCATCCCAAAGGCCATGCCACCCTAGGTGGAGAGCCTACTGGCATTCAGTTTGGTGAAAGAAGCCCAACTTGACAAATCTGCTTAAATGAGAACCATAAAACTTAGAAAAGTCTTCCATAATTTCTTGTCAACCAGAGACTCACCACATTGTTAATTATCAAAAGCGTGCGCCTGCAGTGTTGACTGAACTGCCTCCATCAAGGCTAAAGCACTTCCACTTCCTTCCTCTCCCTCCCCACTTGGCTGTGTCACCATAAACAGTTTTTATTTCTTCCAGACATGCCTGCAATAATATTTACCTCCAGCACTGAGACTTTCGGGTCGAAGTGTTTACGCTGCACATTCGCAACACAGCTACGCAACACTTTAATGGATCCCTATAAGACAAGAACATGCATCTTGCGATTGCGTTGGTGAGTTGGTGCAGGTTTAAAAATCCTGATGAGAAGACGATAAACGCAACGCCTGTTATTGAAGAATCGGTCCTTGTTTTGTTCTCACAAAGTAGAAAACACAGTTTTTTTTCTGCTTTTAGAAAGTGTTCAGTGCAGAGAAATCATTTAATTCCACAATACTTTATTGATCCTCAAGCGAAATCTAAATCTTTAAGTCTGTCCAGTTTAGAGTTAAACTAAGAGTTAAACTAAATAGGGGCTAAATTTGAACTAAAGATTAGTCAGTTTCCTTTAAATAGATCAAAATAGCCCTTCAGTACTAAAAAGGAATCCACTGTCACTGATTTCAGATGTGTGCAGCCTGTTTTCTTACAATGCTTATGTTGCGTTCCATTACTCAACTGGGAAGTTCGTATTTCCCAGTTGAGAAAAATCAACTAAAAACCCCTCCGAAATCAAATTTCCCACTGAGGAACTGGGAGGAAGTGGGAGGAACTCCAACTACCCCAAGTTATGACTTATATGGCAGACAACATTTCAATATGGCCGCTCCTTGCATCAACAGCAGTAAGATGTGGTGGAAATATGTTCATTTTACAAGACATGCATGTAAAAATGCTTCTAAAACCAATGTCACATGTACAGTCATCAACTATAAACCTACACTAAAAGTGGTGTTTGCTTATGGAAAGTAAAGCTTAAAATGAGATTTGAAAGAGCATTTGGAAATAATGTCTACGGGCTTCTCCATGTTGAAATTCTGACCTCTTAACTAGAATAATTAGAAACTTCGGGTTTGACGTCAAACCCACGTCCCAGGTAAACTGGAATATAGCATAACAATGTATCAACCCATGCAAATAAGAAAGAAAACATGCTATGCCACCCCTGACAGAATGGCACCCTGGGCATTCTGATCGTTGAGCCATTTTGACCTTATTGATAAGACATTTTAAAATCCAAATTTAATAAGTGATTTTTTCTGTTAATTTATCCAGAAATCTAAAAGACTTGTGTTTTCTTGATGACAGAAACTGATGTGATGTTATTCAGAGTTGTTAAAAGTGCAGATTTGGGGTTAGATGTTTTGGAGAACTGGGATTGACAGGCATCTGCAAGCACTTCATTCAGTTCCCCTGCGCTGACCTTAATTTGGCACTAATCGCCGTGGAGAATGTCACATGATTCATTCGCGGCCGCATGGCACATATCATCATTCCTCAGCGCCCTACACCCTGTTAAAGACAGATGGTTACAAGCAAACACGCCCTGTAATGATCCAACGTAACGGCGCTCTGTGGACGTCGTCCTTTCACTTTGCAGCTTTATGGCGGCCATTAACTGTCGTTTATGATATTGAGTTTAATTAGTTCTTAATGTAACCATGTTTAAGCTTGGTCTTGTTAAAACGTTCATGTTTGGACTTCGATTTTGGAACGAAGTAGCAGTCATTGTGGATTGATAATCCAAAATTGATTAAACAATCTGACTTTCATTAAAGGCAGTATTTAAAAAGAAAAAATCCAGTGATATTTTTCATCCAAAAAAGTGGACATTATAAATCAAGTTTTATGTTTACAAAATATGAGATTTGTTGTTGAGATTTTATTCGATAGTGTGTTATATGTACCTTTTTTACCCATCGCCCAGTTGAGTCAAAAACTAGCAGAATTCACCCATTGGTGAAGCGATCAGGCTAACTACTATTATTATTAAAAGCTAACGACAATATACATAATCTTTTTATGCTCTGCAAGTAAACATTGACCAACAAAGAAGCATGGAACTATACATGTGTGTGATTTAAAGTTACATAAGCTGTCAGAGAGATCAATACAATGCTAATACTATGTAGTTAGTGATACAGGCAAAAAAAACCTTTTCCGCAGTTCTTTTAACTGACTTTCTAATTTTTCAAAGTTTTGATTTTGTTCTTCTGTTTCTGTTTGGGCAATCAGATGGACAACCCCGAAATGGTTAAATGAGTTTAAAATCTAAAATCAAAACACTAACATTTTCCAAAGGGATTCTGTTTTCGAGGCTGCTGCTGTTCACCTAAGCGCAGAACTAGAAAAGTTATTTCCGCCTGGCTGTAATCCACAACTTTCTCCTGTCTCCTGTGATTGTGGGAGTGCAGAAAAGCTGCTGAGACCTCCAAAATGCAATGTTTCCATTCCCACTAGGAGAGAGTAATCTTACAGGCCCACTCTGTTATCCGGTGGCCCCTCAGATAGTCGGCTCCCGTGTGTGAACGCTTTTACACTCTCACCTACCCGGTGCGGCTCTCCTCCTCAGATTCCATTAAAAAAAATAAAAAATCAAAACTTTAGCTCCTGGGGTTCTGATCAAATAGAGTAGTTATTACATTTTTTTCCCTGCATTTTGATTCCCTCCCTCCACCCATATGCCTCATATTTACATATAGATTGGGTATTTATCAGTCTGCATTTTACAGCAGATTCACTGTAGTCCTCTTTATTAAACCATGATGGATTTATGTATATTTAATGAAGAGTTGATGTCGAGGGTGTAATTCTTTGAACAAGGGAGTGTACATGCGATGTGAGTTGAATAATAAAGCATGTGCACTACTGAACTTCAAACTTGTGTGAAAATCTTTGGGGTGTCCGCCATTATCATTTGCACCTCTGTTTTAAGTGGTTACATATGAACATGTTCTCCTTAGGAATCCAAAGCATTAATCATCATTATCTTTATCCTGCTGTATGATGAGATACACAATCCTAAGTG